CCCGGCTGAGCCCTCGGCCCCCGCTCGCTGCTCGGGGTGTTCACGTGCGGGTTGGAGCCGCTGCCTGAGCTCCCGACAGCATCACTGCTCGTGACGCTGCTGCCTCTGGATCCGTGCTGGGGAGGGGAAGGATGTCTCGCCTGCACACCCCCTTCTCCAATTTTTGTGTGGTGAAAGCAGAGGGGTTTCTGTAGCCGTGTGCCGACGTCTCTGTGGTTTCCCTGACGCAGCCCTGCCCGGGAGGGGAGCTGAGCCCCCCTTGCTGCTCCGGGGGGGGGCTCTTCCCGCCGCTCCCCGCTCCGCGTCTCATCCATATTTAATCCGGGTCTCCTGGAGCCATGTGCTCCCCGCACGCCGCGCGGGCCGGCGCACGGCATGACACACTCGCTGCTAATTAATCCAGCGGCATTTGCGAAGCGCCTCGGGTGCCGCGCGGTGATGATGCTCTGGGACGCTCCGGTCCCGGTGCCGCAGGCGCTCCCGTGCAGGCGGGGATGCGGGAGAGGCCGTCTCAGGACACGCCGTCTCTGGTTTTCAGGGGTGTTTCACTATAAAACGCAGCAGCTTTAATTTTTTATCCGCCCGTCGCCTCCTCTCACCGCTCGGAGCCCTCGGAGGAGCCGCCCCGAGCGGGGGGAGCAGAGGATGGTGCCGGTGCCGAGGGCCCGGCGAGCGTTCCCCGCCCGTGTGAGCGGCCCGCGAGGAGCCGGATCAGAGCCGTAAATCCCAGCCGTGTCCTGCCCTTAAGGACTCTCCCTCGCCCCCGTCGGTATTTCTGAGCCGTCTCCCGATGGGAGCCGCGGGGCCTGTCCTCACGCAGCCCAAGATCTCCATCTGCTCTAAAAGCTCCTGGATTTAGCGCTCGGGGCCGGGGCGGGAACTGCTCCCTGATCCTTGTGCTCGCAGGGGACGCGGGGCTGGTGCCACCGGACAGCTCCCAGCCCAGAGGGGCAGTTTCTGGTGCAGGGTGAGGTGTCAGGACGGTGGGTCTGATTGATGGGCAGGGCTGCTCCTCTCCTCTCCCGGGATCCTCCCTCCTTCCCGCAGCAGCCACAGCGCCGGGACACGCAGGTCGTGGGTCTGGAGCTGCTGTGGCGTCCGGAGCTGGGAGGGGAGGGATGGACAGGGATGGCCCGGGGCTGCTCAGCCTCTCTTCTCCTGTCCCGAAGCAGCTGCGTTCATGAGGGGTTCGATACCCACAGGCTTTTGGGGGGCTGAGAGGCAGATCAAGGGTCCCTCACAGCCTTGAGGAGCGTGGGCTGGGATGAGCTGGGAGGATTGTTACCCCCTTGATACAGAAGTCTTGGCTGCTCCAGTTCCTGCCCCCTCAGCCATCCCCCACAGCCTCCCCAGGCTCTGCCGTGGCTGTGCCGCTGCCCTGGGGCACAGGACAGCCCCCCTTCCACCACAGCAGTGTTTGCCAGATACCCCAGAAAAACCAGAAAAGCCCGTTAGTGTAATTTTTTTTATTGCAGTTCAGATTGCAGAACAGCACAAGCCTCTGGCTGAGGGTATCGTTTCCTCTCCTGCAGCAGTGGGTGGGCACAGGGGTCTCACCCTGGCACGGGGATGGCTGAGGGTGGCTGTGGAGGCAGCAGCGCCCCAAGGCCAGGGCCCTGCTCGGGGCTGGGCATGAGGCAGGAGCTGCCACCCGTTCCCTGGGTATAAATAGCATCCCCTTGCAGGATGTAGGCTGTTCCCAGCGACACAAAACCCAACAGCCTGTCCTTGGAGCAGCTGGTTTTTGGGGGCGGGGGGGACGGTGTCTGCGTCGCTGGGGAGGGGCAGTGCTGGGGGGGCTGAGGGGGCTCTGCAGTGCTGCTGCCTTTGTAGGGTTGGCAGGATGCTGCTCTAAATCCCTCCTGCACCTGGGGGGGATCTGAGGAACCGGGGTGGGGGGAGCTCTTGGTTGCACCGTTCTCACCGTCCCTCGGTGCCCGCTGGCATCGCACCCTGTGCCCGTGTTCCTACCCACCCTGTCCCTGTCCTGCCCCCTCAGCCACGGCCTGAGCTCCTCAGCAGCCACCTCCCTCCTCCCTGACCACCCATGGGGGTGATGGGTGAGTGGCACATCACACCCAGCCTGTCCTGGGGGGCTCAGTGAACTGCCCTGGAACAGATCTGGTGTGCCACCTTTCCTCCTGCCCCCAGAGGATTCCTGGTGCCAACTGTCCCTCCCGAGGGTGCCCAGCACTTGGCATTCTGCTCGTGGCTGTTGGAGTGAGAAAACACCCCGGATCCCAGACCTGGCTCGAGGCATCTCCCTCACCCTGCTCTTTGTATTCCAGTGGTTATGGCTTGAGGCATCCTGGAAAGGACCTGGAGCAGCCACAGGAACAAACACTCTGGAGGAGGAGAGGCTTTATGAGGATAGCAGGGGCTGGGTGAAGGACAGGGACCCCAGGGTGGCTGCTGGAGGTGTGGGAGGTGGCAGGTGACCAGTCAGGGACACCATCAGCTGTGGCAGCCAGTGTGAGAAACAAGAGAAAGGCTGTCTGTAATTAGCAGAGGCTGCAGGGGCTGGAGATGTTGCTTGGGGAGATGCAGCACAAGTGGCCACAGGGCCCTCACTGTCACCCTCACCATGGCCATCACCAGCCCCTGGAAGCTGAGACTCGCTGGCTGCACGTGTGGCAGCAGTGAGGGCTCTGCTGGGTTACACCAGCAGCGTCCCTTGGGGCTGTCACCATGTCCTTGCTGCCATGGAGGAAGGAAGGACAGGGCTGGTGTCACCATGTCCTGCCCTGTGCCCCAGGCAGCAGCACAGGACTGGAGCCACACGGCTCCTGTTCCCAGCTGCTGTGGGATAGGGGAGTTACAGGGGGCTCTGTGTGGGGGTGGATTGGTTTTGGCTGGCTTTAAGGAGTAAATAACGATTTCCCTACCTGTATCTTTGATTCCATAAGCAATTTATCCATCACAGCTGCTCTGCTGCAGGTGTGGGACAGGGGGGGAGCTGTAGCACCCAGGGACAGCATCGGGCACACTGGGCTGCCCTGCCCATGGCTGTGGCACACGAGTGGCCTCCAGCCCTGTCACACACCGAGCCACTCGCTCAGATTCCCCCCCTGGAGTGCTGCCTTCCAGGAACTGTGTCCCAAGCCCTGCCTGGCTCCCGAGGGACCAGGGAACGCCCCAGGGCAGCCACTGCCCGGGGGGTGGGAGCAGTGGACCCAGTCCCAGGGGTTGTCACGGTGCCCACAGCAGAGCCCTGGGGGTGTCACTGCTCCCTCATGCCAGCCTGGCAGGACCCGGAGGAGCTGAGCTTCCAGCCTGTGTCTTGGGGAAAAAATACATCAATCTGTGTGGTGTGTTACATAAACCAGCAAAAGACACGGTCTAAGGGCACAGGAGAAGGAGAGAGCCTGGCAGGCAGGCTCAGAGGGTGCCTGAGCCTGTTCCAAGGGGAACTGGGCAGAAATCCTGCTTTACACAGACAGAGCCTTCCTCTGGAAAAAGACCAGCTCCCGAGCACTGGCTGCTCGGGGAACAGACACATGTGAGAGAACCCGGTGTCTTTCTTCACTCTTTATTGTGTAAAAATAAAGTCAACAATTCATGTAATCCCAGCAATAAAATGGAAAAAGCATGAGAATCCGTAGAAACAGTGCATTGTCAGAACTGCCGATGCGGGCCGGATGCGCGGGGTGTCGGAACCCGTTCAAATCCCAAAGGAGACAGAGCCAGAGTAGGAAAAATGTACAGCTTTGGTTAGCAAAAGAATGACAAATTAAGATACATTAATCTCTCCCCTACTGTACACTATGTACACTGTGTTGACATCACACCCTTTTGTGGTTTTTTTTGGCAAATCCAACGCACCTGGGGCCGGAGGTGGAACCTGTGCCGCGCTCTCGTTGCTCTCAGCAGGTTGTGCTCGTCGTCGCCGACGCGAACGGGGGCTTGGGAGGAACTCAAATTAACTCACGGTGGTTTGGGGTTTGGCTTGGAAAAAGGGCACAGCTGAAGATCCGCTGCCCCGGGCCCCAGCCGTGCAGGTGTCTGGCTCTGGGCTGTCACTGCCTGGGCCAGGTCCCCAGGTCAGTGGTGGCCGGGTTGGCTCTGTGCTCCCAGCCAAGGGGCCGTGGCCTCCCCGGCTCTGCACGGGCCCCTCCGCTCCGCACGTCTCTTTGCCGCATCCTTGGAGTTGGTCGGGAGGCTCTGGAGCCCTGTGTGAATTCTCTGCCTCATCCTCCACTGCCGCCCGGGGCAGCCCTGGGTGGGCAGGGAGGGGGCTGGGGGGGGGTGATTTCTGCAATCTGTAGTACAAACCAGGAGTTTAGAAAAGGAAACCATACAAAATGCATCTGTTATCTCAAAATACGCTTCTTTATCTCTTTTTTATCCCGCAGAATCTCAAAGCACTTTTTTTTTTTTCCTCAGGGAGCACTGATAATTCTATATTTTTTTTTATCTTCATAAAAATACCCTTTTTTTTTTTTAATTGGTAATAAACTTCCCTTTACAGTAAGAGAAACAAGAGAGTGTATTATCAAAAGCAGAAAGGCTTCAGACCTGTCAGTGGGAGCTGGGCTCGAGGGGACGGTAAAGGCTATTTGTCACCAGCTATGGCGCGTAGGAGGCCTCGGGGGGCTGCAGGCGGCGGGGCCGGGGGTACCTGAGTGCGGCAGGTTGGGCAGCGGGGCCGGGGGAAGGGGGGGTCCCGCCGGGGGTCCCGCCCCGGTGCCCGCCGCAGCCCGGGGCTATGGCTGTGGTGCTCGGGAGCAGCGCCGGCCGGGGAAGGGGGCACCGGGGCTCACTTGGGAATGGGGGGGGTGTCTCCTTATCCCGGGGGTGGGAACGGAGGGGTTGCCCCCTCCGTGGAGTCCCAGCCGCTGTTACAGCCCCGGCTCGGAGCACAGCTGGAGGGGATGCTGCAGCCTTCCCCCGGCTCCGGGGCCACCACCCTCCCGGGGGGGGGCAGGCTGGGGAAAAAGGGGCCCCGGGGGGGGCCCCTGTCCGGGCCCCGCGGCCTTTTGCCCGGGGGGAGCGGCGGTGAAGCGGGGGCTGGGCGCGGGGGGGGGGGGGGGGGGGGGGCGCAGCCGCGCCAGGCCAAGGCACGCAGGCGTTGAAGGACGTTGGCAAGACAGAAACCGGAGGGTCGTGGGGCTCCGGGGGCGGGCGCCCCACTGCCGGGGCATCCCCGCGCCCGGGACGAGACGGGTGGCTTTCGTTTCTCGGTTGGTTTTTTTGCGCAAAAAAAAAAAAGGAGGAAAAAAAAATAAATAAAAGAACCCGCTGAGGAGGTTTCTCTCGCTTGTCCGTGGCTCTAGTTGAGCTGGCGACAGGCCTCGAAAGTCCACTTGGTGGCCCCGCCGTAGATGTCGATGTTGGACTCGGCCCAGGCGATGACGTTCCCCGCCAGCGCCTTGGAGCTGCAGGTGGCCAGCCCGTACACCTCGCCGGGGCTCAGCTTGCGGTCCCACACGTTGAAGTGGGCCAGCTCCCCCACGAAGGCCTGCGTGGCGTCGAACCCTCCGCCCAGCGTGTCCTGCGGAGGAGCCGCCGTCACCAGGGCCGCGCGGCCGGGCGGCCCCGTCCTTCCCCTGGGGTGCACCCAGCCCAGCTGGGACCCCCATGCCCGCCCCCCCCCGGCCCTTACCTGCTCCTGGCCTAGCACCAGGACCCCCTGGGGCTTGATGGGGTGGTAGGGGGCCAGGTTCTCGCCGTTGCCCGTCTGCGTGCCATCCTGGTAGGCTTCCCACACGCCGTCCCTCGTGGTCCAGGTGACACAGATGTGGTGCCACTTGCCGTCGTTGATGACAAAGGGCAGTTTGGCCACCTGTGGGCAGTGGGTCGGGGTGATGCACAATGGGGCACCCCACGCTGTCCCCCCAGCCTGTTCCCCCCCTCCCAGCACCCTCCACCCTCCCCGGGGCTGTACCTTGTCATTGATGAGGATCTCCATGGGGTTGTTGCCCCACTCGATGAGCACCAGCTCGTTCGCCTGCCCGGGCACAGCGTAGGAGAAGGGGGTGCCCATGCCAGGGGAGGCGTTGGACTTGATCCACATGCAGATGCTGAAGGCATACATCTCGGGCAGGCTCTTCTTCACCTTGGCGTACATGTAGTTGGTGCGCAGGGGGAAGGTGAGCTGGAACCTGTCCGGGGGCCGGTTGTCCTTCTGGCCTGTGGGAGCAGGGGGTCGGTGGGCTCCGGCCGGACCCCCTCTCTGCCCCTTTGGGGGTTCCCCCCCCCTCCCCACCCCGTTATGTAACGGGCCTTGAGATGGCAGCGAGGAGCAAATCCCTCCGGAGCCGCGCGGCTCCCTAATCCCCGGGGCGGGCAGAGGCCGGAGCATCCCCGGCCGCAGAGCCCGCGGGCACCGGCTGCCCCAAACCCCACAACGGTTCGGGTTGGGAGGGAGCTTAGAGACCGGGCAGTTCCGACCCCCTGCCAGGGGGAAAGAGAAGCTGGGGGCGAGGGACCGCTCCGGGGGTGGGAAATGGGACAGCTCGGCAGAGCCGCCCGCGGGAGCGGCTCCGCATCGGCCGGCAGCGCCCGGTCCCCGGCGGCGGGGGGAGCTCCGGAAGCCGGCCCGAGCGTCCCGCGGCGGGCGGGGGTGGGTGGGCAGCGCCCGGTACCTTTCTCCAGGTCGCTGATGCGCTGGTGCAGCGAGGTGAGGGTGCTCTCGATCTTGCCGCGCTCCTCAGACTCGTTGCGGGGGCTGAGCTTGCCCTCCTCCAGGCTGTTCACCCGCGACAGCACCTGCTTCTCCAGGTCGTCGATCTTATTTTGCAGGATGTCCTTCAGGTTGTTGGTCTGGCTGGAGGAGTTCATCCTGCTGAACTGCTACAAGGGGCGAGCAGAGGAACAGGCTGTTACCGCCGGGCAGCGGCTCCCGGTGCCCGGCCGTGCGGGTCCCGCGGCGCCCCGTGCCCAGATGCGCGGGTCTCCCGGTGCCGGTGCCCGGCTCCCCCGATGCCCGGCTCGGCGGCTCCCCCGGTGCCCGGCTCCCCGGGTCTCCTCGCGTACCTCCAGGTTCTCCAGCCGGGTTTTCAGGGACTGCAGCGTCTGCCCCAGCTGGCTGAGGGTCTCGGCGGCGGGCGGTCGCGACAGGTCGCCCATGGTGTTCTTGGCGAAGCCTTTCCTGCCCTTGGCCTCGCCGGGCTCCAGCACGCTCTGGCTCTCGCAGCGGCCCAGCTTGGCCGTGAGCTCGCGGATCGTCTCCTTCTGGTTCATGATCGTCTCCTTCTGCTGCAGCACCGTCTCCCGCAGCTGCAGCACGGTGCCCTTCAGCTCCTCGGCCGAGCCGGTGCCCAGCGCCGAGGCCGCGCACACGTCCCCGTCCAGCGGCACCGAGGTGCAGACGAAGCGCGTCTGCCCCAGCCCCTGCCCGAGCGCCGGCCCCAGCGCCGGCCCCAGCAGCAGCAGCAGCGGGACGAGGCTGCCGGGCGGCCCCGCGGCCATGGCTCCGCTCGGCTCCGCTCGCTCCGGGCCGGCTCCGGCTCCGCTGCGGCGCCGCCGCTTTTATAGCGCCCGGGCGGGGCCCGCGGGACGTCACCGCGCGTGGAATCCCGGCCCGCGGCGGGGGGGGGTCCCGCGGGGAGGGGGCGCGACAGCGACCGAGAGAGTGTGTGAGTGTGAGAGTGAGTGTGTGCGAGTGAGTGTGTGCGAGTGATGTGCCCGCGTGTCCCTGTGTGTGCGTGTGCGGGGGGGCCGCGTGTGTCGGGGGGCGGGAGCGCGGATGGGCGCGGGAGTGGGCGGCGCGCGTGGGTAGCGGAGATCGTGCAGCGGGGGGGTGTGCGGGGCGTGTGTGCGGGGGATGCGCGTGCGGGGTGTCTGTGTGTGTGTGTGTGTGTGTGTGCGGGTGTATGTGGCTGTGTGTGTGTGCGGGGGATGCGTGTGCGGGGTGTCTATGTGCGTGTGCGGGTGTCCGTGTGCGGGGCTGTGCCCGTGCACGCGGGCAGTGCGTGTGCCTGCGGGTGCCCGTGCGTGTGCGGGGGCGGTGGCACAGCGCTGTGCGCGCTCGGGGATGCCCCGGGGGTGCCCGCCCCGGGGTTTGGGGGTGTTGCCCGGGCAGCCCCGGGCTCGGTGCCACCTGGGGCGTGGGGCCATTCCCGAGCACTGCCCGGGAGCAGCGGAGCCGCTGGAGCACAGACGGGCCCCGGTGGCTGCGTGTCCCCAGGGATCAGATGCACCCACTGGTGCCCAGCTCCGCTGTGGGCACGGGGGAGCAGTCGCTGCTTTGCTGCTTTTTTAATCAGGGAAAAAAAACCCACCCGGGTAATATCTGGAGCTGTCCTTGGTGGGAAGAGCTCGTGGCTGTTGGAATTGTCGCTTTTCTCATCTTCAGCACTTCATCCAAGACAGATTCCCCTTAAGCCCTGGAGCAGGGAGTGTGCAGTCTCCCCCTGCACTTGTGCCCCACGTCCTGCCCTCTGCCAACACACCTGAGCATGAGGGAGACCGTCCTGGCCCCGCAGCCCCAGGCCCCTGAGCTTCTCCTGCCTGTTGGCTTTATCCTTGTCTTCTCTCCGTGATACTGTATCGTGATAGGAAATCCCTGACCCGGAGAGCAGCCTGGGGGGGTAAATGGTGGAGTGTGTGTGGTTCCCTCTGCTCAGCTCACAGCTCAACTCACCCAGCACTACAGCAGCACATATGGTTGGAGTATTTACATAATGCCAAGTTATCCTGTGAAATATGAAGCAATTAATTTTGATTAGTGAAGTGGGTCAGTAAAATACAAAGGCTTTCAGTCCATGGATCTGCAAAAGATAAAACACACCCACTCTATGGTCCTTTACCCTTTGATCTCCTCTCTGGAACGGGCCTGAGGAGCCCTGGCCAGGGCTGGAGCTCCCCAAGTGGCTCATGGTGATACCTGTGGCTGGGTTTGATGCCTTTTCTTTGGCCGGTCTTTATCCAGCCCCTAGAGGTTTGTGACACACTGGCTTAGCATGGAGTGTTTCCTCCTCAAAGGCACCTCAGCTGCCCTTGGGAGGCCCTTTCCCCATCCAGCCATGCTCTGTGGGTTATAGTTAAAGCAGCATTTTATGGCCAAACCCAGGGGCTTGGGGTTGTCAGCAGAAAGAGGATGGCAGGTTGGCAAACCCCCTGCTGTGGCTGGGTCTGTCCATTGATGCCAGCCCAGGGAATACAGGGCAGCGCTGGGACAAAAGAGTCCAAGAGGTCTGGAGCTGTGCCGGGGTGCTCAGCACCTCTGGGCACCTTCATGGGCATCCTGTAGTGCTTTTGTCGCTGTCTCCACCCAACCTGTCCCATCACTCCTGGGGACTGCAGAGAGTTATTCCCTGAGGCTCCTGGGTCTCACTGCTGCTCCTGCCCCGTGCAGTTCAGAGCCCCTGAAAGCCATGAGTTCACCTGGGGTACTGCTTTCCTGAGCTGCTGCTCACCTCTGGGTGATGATGTTCACTTCTGGGGCTGCTCACAGCTCTGGGGCTGCTCACCTGCTTTGCTGCATGAAATTCTTGCTTGAAAATCTGCATTTCCACTCGGTTGTTCCCTTCTGGCTTTATTGCCCTGGTTACTGTCCCTGCTGCTGGCTCTCTGTGCTGTACAGCATTTCAGTGCAACAGGAATGGGGCAGAGGGGAGATAAGGAGGGGACAGGCAGGATGGAGGTTACTGGGCAGACCAGTCTCCCTCCTGTGCTGGTTTGGTTTGGGGTTGGTTTTGGTTTGTTGTTTTTTTTTTTAGCAAAGGGGTGCTATGGAAAAGGCTGAAAAGACTGCAGGGCTAATCCTTCTGCCACAGGCAGGAACACATCCCAAAAATGCTGTTACTGCAGGCAATAGAATTACACCAGTGTAAACTGGTCTGGGAGGCAGCAGAGTCGGGTCCCACTCCTGTTAACATCTGCAGGGTATTGACAGAGCCGTGAGTGTCACTGAACCAATTTACCTCGGAATCTTTTGTCATCCACTGCACATTATGCGGAGATGAGACCAAGGTGACAAATGCAATAAGATAAACACTTGGATACTATGGTGATGGAGACCACGGAAATGCCTGGATAGGAAGAAACAACAAAGCTGCGCTACAAGAGATAAGCAAAATAACCCCCGTGGCTCCTAATGCAAAGAAAGAACTAGAAAATATGATCAAGATTTCAGCTTTCCCAGAATCACTGAATCATGCAGTAGGATCTGTTATTGCTTCTGTAGGTTTAGGAGCTGTGTGGCTGTAATGAAATAATGGAGCCCCTCTTATTTTTAACTCTTCTCTTGCCTCTTCCCCGGCGCTCAGCAGCAGCTGATTGATGGCTCTGTAGCTGAAAAGAGCTGAGCGCAGCTCTCAAGGACCCTCGGAGATGATTTAGCTCTGAACAGGAGCCAGCAGGCACATTTGTATTTGTGATGGACGAGGATGGTTGTGGACAGCCCGGGGTGCTCCCCCCAGGGCCCTCTGCCAGCAAAGAGGTGAGGGGTGTAAATGTTCCATCTGCTCGACACTAACCTCTGTGTGGGAACAGCAGAATTACAAATGCAGAAGGGACAGTTTTTAAAGTGGACAAATCTCTTTAATCCCAGGAGCTGGAGCCCCAGGGAGCAGGCAGTGGAAGCTGCCTCTCCTGCTGTACATAAAGCATCTCCTGTGGGGTGATGCTGATTCCGCATTTCAGTCTCCTCTGCGGAGTGGGAACAATAAGATCCGTTATGGGATGGAGGCAGTTTTGTGATGGGAAATAGCCATGGGTACATTGCCCTGAGGGGGAAGCCCAGGTCCTTTTGTTTGTGCGTGGAGCTGCTGATTGTGCTGGTTGTGCCCATGTTGCCACTGAGGTTTCTGGAAGGATCATCCACATCCATGCACCCCCATCCCCAGTGCACTCCAAGCAGGATGTGGACGTGGCTATGAGGCTCTTTCCTTGTTTTTTTTTTGTGTTTTTTTTAATATAAAGGCTTGTTCTCAGGAAAATTGCAGCAAGGTCTCTGGTCACAGAACCTCTGGCTGTGGGAGCCCAGGTGTGAGTGGAGCAGGATCCACTCCAAAGCCCTTTTCCTTTTGCAGCTGGACCAGGTGTAGGGAACCAGCCCGCAGCTCTGAGCTGCTCCATGGTTCTGTTCGAGAACAGTGTGTATGCAGAATGTTTTTTATTGTGCCTGCTGAGCTGTGCAGCTGCCACTGGAGCAGCTTGGGCAGGGGTGCAGCCAGAGCAGATCCCACATGTGAGGTGGAGTATTCCCGTCTGTGACAGACACACTTTGGACTGGAGTTGGGAATTTTGCTGCATTTTGCTGCAGTCTTCCTTTGCAGATCTCTCCCTCTCTCTCTCTCCCTCTCTCTCTCTCTCCCTCTCTCACACATTCACTCTCTCCCCTTTTCCCCTTCCCTTTCTTTCGCTGTTTCCATCTCAAAAGTCAGGTTCCTCCTAAACTGCCTGACATTTACACCCAGTGAGAATGAGGAGTGTGCTCTCTGTACTAGTAGGTTTCTGTGATGCTATAGGGACACAGCTCCTTTCATTACAAATAATTAATTTAGCTCTATATTGCATAACATCCTAAAAAGCTTTCTAGGGCAGTCTCATGCTAGCTGGATGCACAGATCCTATCAATATTACATTACATTTGGGTACAACAGTTATGAAGTTTCATTAAAAATTTAATTTGTGGTTTAAAACTGCAGCATTCCCTTAAAAGTGTAGCAGAGAAACCATTCTGGCTGCTGGAGGACTGAGCTTGCATTAGCCAAAATTGCAGTGAGAGCTGCAGAAGGGGCTCGGGATGGTGCTGATAATCCCTGCACAGGAATCCAGGGCTGGACTGGAGCAGGAGGGAGCTCAGGGTTGGCATCAGGCTGTGCTGGGTCCCTCTGGGCTCCTGCCAGATGAGGGGGTTTTATCTGAGAACAGAATTAAACCTGTGTCTGTGGTCAGCCCAAAAAAGGCCTCAGCCCATCCTCACTGTGCCCCACGTGTGTCCATCTGGGGGGAGTTTTTGGGTGAAGAAGGAGCCCAGAACGAGGGATGTGTGCCATGGGATCATGGAATGAGAGGGATGTGTGCCATGGGAATGTGGAATGAGAGGGATTTGTGCCATGCCCGGGGCTGTGGGGTGGGAGCTGGGCTGGAAGCCCGGAGCTGTGAGCCCAGAGGATGCTGCTGCTGCCTTTGTAGCTCGCAGCCATCCTCCTGCACTGGTGTGAATGAGGAACCTCGTTCCCGGCCGGCAGCCGGAGCGGGGAGGCGGGAGCGGGGCCGGTGTCATGTTTTGTTAATGAGGCTTTGCTGTGACGCCTCAGCAGCGGAGCTGAATGGAGGCAGGTTCCGACATCCCACATCCGCCCCGCCGTCTCGGAATTGATTTGTGCAGGAATTCCCCCCTGTCTGCACTCACACACGTCAGAACAACCAGCAGCGTTTCGTTTCAGACCATCCCTCAAGTCGTTTTTCAGCTCTCTCAGGGTTTTCCCGCAGTAAGAGAAGGCAGGATGCTGGCTGTGGGATGGATCCCGGCTCCTGGGCAGGACACAGACCTCCCAGTCCTGCCCAGGCGGTGGGACTGGACCTGCTGGTCCTGCCCTCCCGCAGCCAGGCTGTGACACAGGGACG